ATTGGGTGCTATGTTAGTACTCTGTGACATGTATTATTTTAGAATGGCGGTAGATTTGTACCTGTTAGAAGGTTACACATGATAACCAATGTTCTTGTTAGAGAAAATCTGAAAAACACCAGTTGTAGGCAAAGTTAGTAGGTATCTGTGGGGTAGATCGAATCAGTTCTTTAGACTTGTTATTTCCATTGAAGGAATTCGTGTGAACCTTAAGCAAATTTTTCAGTGATTGTTTTATCGATAATATCTCTACCAACTCCAACCACGAGGTCAGTTAGCAAAGATCAACATTCAGCTGTATACCGAATCTCTTAAATGTAGACCTTGTTTGGATTTTGTATCTTACTTGGGAGACATGAGCGCAGCAGAAGATATTCTTATCAAATCAAAGGTTGTGAAGGTTGCAAATCGAAAATCCTCTTGAGTGTCGTGAATTATGAAATATCATTAGTTTTGTCGATCCTATCGACAGTTACCAGTAACTCTTTGACCATAGTCTTATTTCCATTTCCTTTGGTTAGGAAAACAAGTCAGTTTTGTTTGAGATGTTACCTCATCCTACCATTGTTCTTATACTCTTCGTTGCCACTTATAAGTTTTGAATCTTACGATGATGTTTTGCGGAAGGGATAGTTGTGTACTGATACAACATATCGGGTAACGCATTTAACTTTTGATGGTTGGGACCACGTGATGTGAACTGTCCTATTTATGACCTTGAGTCATCTATTATCATCCTGGTTTAGAAATTCGATAACACATCTTCTTGGAGAAACGCGTCAGATCATTATTAACCTCACAAACTTTCCAGTTTTCCTCATTGGAAAGTAATTAAATCTCAGACTACGGCATTAGGTAGGATATAGCAATGTCTACGATTGCACCATTGTGTACTACCCCGATTGTGCAATTGTAGTTACTAACAATCGTAGTAGAAAAGCTCTTAGGCACCAAATGCTGTTCAATCAATTCTATTTTCAAAATTGTCAGATTCTTTGATGTTTAGGTTTGCATCAGCTCTGTTCGTAACCTTAGTTTCACCTTTTACTACTAAAAGATATCTTAGCAAATCTTGGGTTACTCTTATATTCTCCGTATCATTTTTGAATTAAACATATTGTCCGGGAAGACCACTTAGATGTTGAAATTGTCAATTGAGGTCAGCAATCCTTAAATCACCCAATCAACACCCTTTTGAGCGAATCATCACTGTTGGTGATTTAATATTCGTGAAGCTACCTTGTAATGCATTTTTGTAAATTTGGGTCAAGGAAAAATCTATGTCTTCATTCGTTAGTTTTCATTAGACTATCATTTAAGTTGAGTTAGTGTTCGACCATTTCAATCCCTATCACATGATCAAGTTAGATACTTACACGCATTTAAGCATCGAAATTGTATATTCAATCTAGATATATTGTACTTTAGATATAATGAACTTGTTCTGACTTTCAAATTCTTTAATGTTCTTTTAGCCTTCTCGACATGGTTTCTCGCTCAATCAGTGACAAATTCACAATCGATCAATTTGATGGATGCGTGTACCCAGTTTCATATTGATACTAGCAGGTACATTTGAAGAATAATCTTCTTACGAGCCTACCAGACTTATCAAGAAGAGTTTCATGTGATCCTGAGGATGTTGAGCAGTAGTTCAGCATGGTATCGGCGAAAGTATAAATGTAGGTTTTGAGCTTGGCGATTGTAGCGTTAATTTCCATTGTGGCTCAAGACTGCAACTATCATTTGCAGAATATGGTTAGAGTTATGGTTTTTCTAATTCAGGTATTCAGACCTTATACCTTCGATTTAGAGAGTGATCATCGTAACTAGTCCTGAATGAAATGTTTTATAACAAGTGTTCATCCAAATGCATTTCCCACTACTTCACTCTAGGACTTGATGGCTCAGGCGTATGTGGATGGCGATGCACTCCTAATAGCGTTGATTGGTACACTTTGGGGCAATACGAGAGCACGATCGAGGCTTGAATCGGATGATCTAGGTATATTGTCACATGAAGGAAAATTTGGCAGTTTGGCATCCTTGGAAACTTCTCACTCACTTAACGAGACAACAATGAGTTATCGGCATTACAGGTTATAGACTGTAATATCAACGGCTTAATTGTTGTGTTCACTAAGCAAGTGGGCAAGTCGGCTAGTCTACGACACAGTTGCTAATTAATGATGGTTGGGATTCGACTGATAACACACACGCTCATTCACGAAGTACTCAACAACGCCCATTTTCGTTTTTGGTCTTCACTTTTCATGCAAATATTTTAAACTATATTACTTTATTTATATGTGTTTCCGCATTACAAGTTTTGGGTGAGTTACTTCCATTTTTAATTTTCAACTTCATACAAGTATTTTAATCGTATGTTTCTATATATCTATTTCTTGTTGTTATCATATTATATGCATATATTTTTGACCTTGTGCTATTATGTATTATTACATATTTTCGACTCTACATTTTAGATTATAATTATACTACTCTATTATCGAGGAAGGATGACGGTATGAGCTTGGAGGCATGAAAGAGAAATAATTGCAATCCGATCAAGACAGAATGTCATTCTCTTTTATGCAACCGTGCTAACTTGATACACACACACACACACACACATTTTCTCTCTATTTCCAAGTATTTTACATTTAGCAAGTTATTTTAAATTTCAGGGATGAAATTTTGTTAAGGCAGTATATTGTAACGACCCGTTCCCAATTTTATGGTTTTTATGATTTTAATAAGTGAATTTACGAAAATGTCCTTCGAGGCAAAGTGTTGACTTTTGTTGACTACCGTGTCGTGTCACGTAAGACTCGTTTTCTTGGCATATCCTCGTAGTACTCATCGCTACGAATGTGTGGGCGCAAACGGAACACAATTTGGAGTTATAACGAATGAGTTATTAATGAATGAAGTTAGAGACTAAATGATCATTTGAACATTTTCTGGAAGGCTCCAGATTTTTGGAGCAAAATCTGGAAAGCCATGTGTGTGGCCCAGATTAAAGAAAAGGAGAAATGGACGGATGAAAAAGAAGATAAAGGAAAGAAGGAATGAGAGGTGAGGATGAATGAAGATAAGGGAGAGGGTGAGTGACCAATTAAAGATGAGAGAAAGGAGGGGAAAGAAGAGAAGGGGATGCACTGGATCACCCTTGACCTAGTTACACCCAGCCAACCCGCTCGACGGTTTTGGCTTGAGGCTAATTCTGGTGGTTTTCTTCGATTTTCCGACAAATTGTTGCCAACCAACACCACCAATCAACTTGGCGTCATCCCAGTTTCCATTCCCACCTAAGTTTGATGGCTAGTGGTCGTGATTTCATGGTGAACACTCACATTGGCTCCAAGGGCACCCACGGCAATGAATCCGCCATTCGTAAAACGATTTCGTGCAATTGCCACCATCAATGTACTTCCCTTGAGCTCAGGAACAATGTCCAATCATTGGTTAGAGCATTGAAGTCGATTTGAGGACAAATCAAGAATCACCCTTTTTAGGGTTTTCGACCGGTTCAAGTGAAATTGGTGCTTTTCCGGCCAAATTGGCCTTAGTCACAAGTATAAAAGTTGATCCACTCATCAAGATCTTCATTCTTGTAAAATTTGGGAATTTTTGGAGTTATTGGATTTTTCGGCGAGTCGAGGTGGCCGGCCACCACTCACGGTGGCACGTGGGGGAAAAACCCGAGGTCCCTCCTTAGGTCTTTCAATGTGCCAAATCCGAATCCACCATCCATTTTCCCAAATTCTAATGTTTTAATAGAGTTTTACTAAAAGGTTCCTAATTGTGTTTAGGCGCATTGGCGGGAAGTGATCACATTCTCGATAGTTCGAGCGGCTTTTGGGCAATGGAAAACTTGTGAGTGGACCCCTTCTTAACTATATATTTTTATAAACTATTAACCTAGCATGCATTTCATATTACATGCATTGAATATGGTGGATTTATGACTATGGATTTATTATGGTTATCAAGATGGTTTGAGCTTTGATACGAGTTTTGATATATGTTTTTAGTACTTACCTAGTTGGTTATCATACGGCACATCTACACACCACGGGTATTGTCTATGGCCATAGGACACAGATGATGGAGGAGTGAGATATGATATATTATATAACCCCAGCTTCACCACCGAAAGCGGTGTCGAATAGCTTTACTAGCCACGGCTAGTGTCGGTGTGGATATATGCTATTTTATACTGCTTCACCTTTGGGTGATGGATAGGTTGTACAGCTTCACCTTCAGGTGATGGACAGGTATTGCCTTCGGACGAGTATGATACCCCTAGTTGAGTACTTCACGAATATGATTTACAGAGGTTTTACAAAAGTTTTACATGGCATGCTAAGGTTTTTCATAAAACCTATATGTAGTATTATATATATGTTTTCAAAACAAGGGATTACTATGTTCAAAAAGAAAACTGTTTTTCTATTATTAATATTATTATTATAAACTTTGGTCCACTCACCTTTCTGTTTTTGCGCCCCCTCAGGAGCTAGGATCAAGGCATATTGTCTTGTCGTCAGGGTACTTCGGCTTAGTTATCCTCGAGTCTTCTCAGTGTAGGTATCATTTCCTTATTCGTATCTTTTTATAGTCACTCTTTCATATTATTCTTAGTTAGTTGTATGCGCCGAACATGTTCCTATTTTGGCTTAATCTTGTTAATTACATATCTTTTATTGATGAGCATGTTCAAAATAGCTTTGTCACCCTTGGGTGTCGGCCAACACGTGCCTACCCTGGTATGTGGGAGTATCGGGGTTGGAGCGTGTCAGCAACGGGTTTCGAACCATTGGGCCACCAGCTCGTGGTTGCTCCATTTTAATTTCGTATCTTCAATCTTAATTCTTTTTTAATTTTACATATATTAAAAAAAATTCTTCTCTTCTCATCTTACTTTTATGGCTTGTACCTTGAATACAAACCTATTGAGCATAGGAAACAAGTTCTTATTAAGAGGGAGACGGACAGAGACGGAGACAGGTCGCGATGGAAATAGAGCAATTTTGTCTTCATGAGCTTCGTTGGTTTTCGGTAAAAAGCCCGGCCCTCAGTCAGTCCCTTAGTGAGTTAATTACAGTTCTACCCATCAAAGATTAAAATCCAATGGTAGGGATGGTGTATCAGGAAGGGTAATTTTGTTCTCTAAGTTTTGAGCGAATTAGGGGGTAGCCGGGTAGGTTTGCATTTGTTGTCATTCAATGAGGGTTTCGGGGATGGAGGCTCTGAGATAGAGAGGAGGCTCTAAGATAGAGAGAGAGAGAGAGAGAGAGAAGGGGGAGGGAGACAAACAGAGATGGAGATAGATCGCAATAGAAAGAGAGCAAGGGGGAGGGGTAGGGGTCTCAGTGTCGTTGCTGCAGATGGATTTCACAAGTGGCAGAGTGAGGATGGTCTGAGAAATATAGGGGTCGTTAGGATTTGAGAAAGAGGGGTAGGGGTCACGAACAAAGACAACTGAGGGTGATGTGTGCCGGATCTTGCGTTGCATGCTAGGATTTCCAAAGATAAGTTCGTTTTTTAAATTCAATTCTTTATTGTTAGCTTAGATTGTCAACATTTCTGCCTTTTTACTGTGAATTATTTTCGAATTTTTTAGTACTGTTAGGTCAGGTTTTGGGGGATGGATGTATCTCTATTTATTCCCTTATTTGTTTCATTTTCTCTCGTTTTGGGGATTCATCTCTCTGTTCTGTGTATTTGTTCTTTGTTTTAAGGTCAATTGTTTTTTTTTTTTTTTTGGGGTTTTTTTTGTGATTTTCAGTTCGTTAATTTGTGACTTTATGTTTAGATTTTTCGTTCTTATATGATCAAATCAGTATTGGGTTTTGGTTGTTGCAAGGGTAACAGAGAACCCTAAACTCCCAGAAATCGGTATTTTCATTTGTATTAATGAATTTCCATTTTCTCTTCCAAAATAATTTGTTAAATGGAAATTGTTTTCTTTTTGCTAAAGGTGGTGCAGAAATTGGATTTACATCAAATTTCACTCTTAGGAGAAGCCAAATAAGTTATATGCATCATCTACATCAGGTTAATTAAATGAAATCAAATCAAATTCCCCTACTTTATCATGATTTCTCAAGAAAATATCAGTATGCAAAACTGTTGTTTGTAAGAGAACATTACCCTCTATATCTATATACCATTATATGCATCATATATGCATATGAAGTAACTTAGAAATGAAAGACACACAGCCAGTGTGTCATGTGCGTGTCTTACAAAAAGAGAGACATTGAGAGAAATAGCTTAATTTGAAACGATCCAGGAAGAATATAAATGAAGATTTTGTATGGGTTCAAACAATCATCATAGGTTATGTTCCAACTGACTGATGTTGCAACAGATACCTAATGCCTTCTATATTATTGTCCGAGTGGGAAAGTGTTTTTTTGTTGAGGTAAATGAACCATACTAATGCAAACAGAATGAAAATTAAAAGCCTTTAACTAAAATGGATGGGTTAGGATTTTTAATGGAAAAGACATTTAGCTAATGTTCACTTGCACTTTCTCAAGAACAATGCCCTCTGTGTTGGAAGCGCGAAGGATTCGTATTAATGAATTTCCATTTTCTCTCCCAAAACAATTTGTTAATTGGAAATTGTTTTCTTTCTGCTGAAAGGTGGCGCAAAAATTGAATTTACATCACAACAAAGAAAAGCAAAAGGCTTTGAAAGCAATCTCCGGCCTTATAGGTATCAGTTATTTTTTTTAAGCATGTTGGCTTAATTTGGCTCTATGAAAAACTTGAAACTCATTCATCAACATCTACTGAGTTCTTTGTATTGGTTGAGAAACTCTCTTTGAAGAGAATGGATTGGAGCTTGGTTTTTAGCCATGGTTTCAGGCACATTCTTCAAAATAGGACTAAATGGAAAAGAAAATTTGTCCAGTTTTATGTTTTTATATCAGTCTACTTCTATGAAAAAATATGAATGAGTTGTCAATTAATAATTGAGGCTGAGATAAAGAAGGCCTTTCTCACCTTTGATGCAGGGCGGACAACAAAAATATTTTTCCGTCTCTCTGTGCCTGATTTTTATTTTTTTATTTTTTTTATTTTTTTTATTTTTTTTTTTGGGGGGGGTGGAGTGTTTGGTTGCCGGATTTGATTTGTTTTTTTCTTTCAGGAAAAGCTGGGGTTCGAATTTTGGGGTTTTTGCATACAAGATTGGAAGCCCTTTCTTATCAAGATATATAATTTCTGTTTTTCTTATTATATCGTTTGTTGAACAAATTTAAATGTTTTGGGGTCCTGTTCCATTTGTACATCCGTTTTCTGTAAATTTTTTATTTTGTTCCTGCGTTTGGATATTGAGTGTAGCTGTAGTTTTTTTGTGCTTTTGTGTGTAGGCTTCCAAGCTTTTTGTGCTTGGGCTATATAATTTCAGATTTTCCTTTTGATTTTTCTTATTTATACCCTTATTTGTTTCATTTTCTCTCATTTTGGGGATTCTTCTCTCTATTATGTATTTGTTGTTTGTTTTAAGCTTAGTTGCCTTTCGTTTCTTTTGTGGGTTTTCAATTTGTTAATTTGTGACTTTGTGTTTAGATTTTTCTTTCGTATGTGATTAAATCGGTATTGGGTTGTTGAAAATATTATTTTTTTCTGCTTAAGCTTCTTGCTCATTTTTCTGGGATTTTAGGCTTTTGGTTGCAAGGGTAACAGAGAACCCTAAAATCCCAAAAATCAGTATTGGCATTTGAATTAATGAATTTCCATTTTCTTTCCCAAAACAATTTGTTAATTGAAAATTGTTTTCTTTCTGCTGAAGGTGGTGCTGAAATTGGATTTACATAATGACAAGGAAAAGCAAAAGGTGTTGAAAGCAGTCTCCACCTTACAGATATCAATTACTTTTTTAAGTATGTTGGTTAAATTTGGCTCTGTGAAAAATATTAGAAAATAATAAAAAAGTAAAAACAAATTCTGAATTATTTCATTCATCATCACCTAGAGTTCTTTGTATTCATTCAATCTGTTTTTGTAATTGTATTACAATTTTACCCTTCAGTACACATGGGAAAACATATGAAATCTACATCATGTTATGCATAATTTAGTCCAAATGTCAAACTTTAAATTTTCAAATCTATTAAATATCTAAGTTTGTTACTTTGCATGATTTGCTCCATGTGTTGCTCTATACTATAGTCATCCAAAAGATATTTTATACATATTTTGCTATGTGATTTAATGCATTTTTTGCTCCTTTAATGATCTAATTTTGTTTTTCCCACTAAAAGGGAGATGCAATTCAAGCAACCATGAAACCCTAGGACATCCGATTCTTTTTGGAGCGTCTAAAAGTTGGATTCGGGTATGAGATAGATAAATTTCGTGTTATCTACAACAAGACATCAAGCAAAATTGTCCTTCATGATGTCATGGTTGAGTTGAACAAAAACACTTCCATAGTCCCTGTTGAGAAGCCAAATCAAGTGATCCCGATGCATTGGTTTAATTTAATTGAATTTGATGAGCTTCATAAGAAAGTCAATAGAGATGTAAACCTCACAGGTAAAGCATCTAATTTTGACTATTTCCAATACTCTAAAATCATTATTCTTAGTTTTTAACTAAATTTAGCTTAAACTGGTTCTTACAACTACATCATATGTAGATGTTTTTTTGTTGTTTGATGGCTTTACAACCGATTGAGAACATGACTGTGCAAAATATCAAAGTTGAGAAAAAGCGAGACCTCCAACTTCAAAATAATAGGTGAACTATACTTCTCTTAAACTGTGATTGCATATTTTTACATATATAGCCATATGAAAATTACATAGAAAGTTCTTACTCCATTTTATAATTGTAGAGGTGAACAAGTTACAGTGACCCTATGGGCAAAAACTACAACAAGCTTTTAAGAGGATGCATTGCAGTCGCTTTCGCTGCCTGTCTTTGTTGTTTTGACTTTACTCAAAGTGAAGCAATACAAAGGTTATACCTTAAGAATGTCTATACGTGATCACTTTACTTTTGTGTTTATAATTGTTGTTATCTTTATATTTATAGGAAATCCTATTATGGAGAGCATAGAATGAAAAGTTTGTATTCTCAATCCTAATATCCTACAACTTTCATAATATAAACAAGAGTGAGTGTAACGTTCCGTCCCGAAATAATTATTTCGGAAAATAATATCGGTGATAGGCCCCCAAACCGAACTCTTGTTTAGTTAATTACCATTAAACACAATTCTTTATGTACATTTATTAATCACACACCAAATCTATAACCAAAGTTTACTTACCAAAAACATAAGATGAACATTCATCTTATTCACCAAATTTCTTTTCATAATTCAAATTCCCTACAAAACAAATTATTTAAGAAATTCTTAATTTCTTTCAAAACCTATAGCTAAATTTATTTGACCAAGCAGAAGTTAAATTTATACTAAACACCCAATCCCTTTTCTTCTTTCAAAATTTCGATAAAGGTTTATCTTAGTTACTTTTAAGGCTGCATCTAACTCCTGTTAGACTACCTACGTACCCTTGAACGAGATCAAGTCTTTGGTAGTTCATCATTCAATCTTAATCCATTTCGAATTATATTCCAAATAAACGAAATATCCAACATTAGTCTAATGATTGAATCACCTCCAATGGATACCAAATTCATATTTAGAATATCCAAATTTGTACGAAATGGCAGCGTCGGCCCATTGGCCATGCGCCATCGTGGGTGGCGGTTTCAGGCGAGCGGAAACCCCAAATTCCGACCAACACTAAAAATTATCAAATTTCAAAGGCAAGTAGATCTCAGTGAGGAGAGAAATTTTCATACCTATGCCCAAGTCCAATTTGACAGGGAAACACCCCAAATAGTCCTCAAACCACTTGCCCTAAAAATGGGTCGTTTCAATCCATCACTTCCGGTGCTCTGCCGCCCCTAAGGTGGTTTGGGCTTTGTTCCTGGGCTCAAGGGAAGTTCAATGGTGGTGGAGATCGAAGGAATCTGTTTCCAAAATGGCAGATTGAAGATATAGGACCCTCGCACCCACCAATACAGGTTTCACCAAATTCAAACCAATTTCATAAATTTTGGGGTGGAATGGGTAGAGGGAAAGACTAGGTTCAAAGTATGGATCATTTTGGCATCGGTCCCTTCATCAACGGTGGCCAGAATCGGAAAATCTGATCGAGTCAAGTCGGCGAGTCATAGAGGATCCGGTTCTCTTTCTTTCTTCCGCCTCATTTCCCCTCCTTTCCTTGTTTTCTGATTGGGCGGTCCCCATCCCTCCCCTCTCTCCTTTCTCTCCTTCCCCTTTCATGTCAGCCACCCACGTGGCATTCCCATTGCTCTAGATTTTCTGGAGCCTTCTAAAATAAATGGCAAAATGAATATTTTGTCCTCAACTCTAATCGTTAATAACTTCTTCGTTATGATTCTGTTTCACAAACAGCTTGCGCCTATGTGCTTGTGAGATCGAGCTCTATTCAAAAATATAAATGGTGACCTCGAACGGTCTACGGATTTTAATTAATTAATTTCCAAACTTCACTCTTCGTAACTAATTTAATTAAAATCTAAATTCAAATAAATTAATATAAATTCTCGAGAAATAACATAAAATCTCAATAATACAAATACGTAAATTATAATAATTTCTGGAAACAAAATTTTAAAATTCCTCAATTAAAATTTTCATAACCTTAAATTGATTTATTTTCGATTTTCTCCACATATTCATAATTATGAATATCTAATTCGTATATCTAAATTTTCAAGGTATTATAGTGAGTGAACAAACCTTATTTAATGTTTTTTATTTTTTTCATTTATATTTTTACCGTCTATATTCTTGGACCTAAAAATGTGAAAATCAAGATTGAATACCTCAAAACACCCATTGAAATTCTACCGACTTCTGCTGAAAAGTACGGAAAGGCTACTGTTATGACTGATTTTGAACAGAAGACAATTGAACAATTGCTTCTTCTTGATCCAGCATTAAACAAGGTCAATCCACCATCACTAAATTATCTCTTGTTTTATCAATTGTATTTTGCAACTGCTTCGCAATTAATTGTTTTTTCTAATTTGGAAATGACATATTGTTTCTTAGTCTATATTGTGTTGTGCATACAAAGTGTCATGTTATTTGTTTCTTTGTTCATTTATAAGCTTTAGTACAAAAAATTAAACAACTTATCTTTCACGACTCAATATAAATTTTCCAAAATGTAATCTCATGTCCAAAATTTGTATTCTATTTTATAATTTGGGTGGAAATACATTTTCTGGGGTGCAAGTGTCAAATTTGGGAGTTTATTCTTAAATGTCTTTTGTATTTGAAAATTTTATATCATATCAAAATACAAGTTTCATATGTCCAACAACAATTGTCAGTTACAATCTGACCAAGGGATGGTGGTACAAGTCATGCCCGTATTGCCACAAAAGTATGAAAAACACATATGGAACCTTTCAATGCTTTGAACATGGGCCACTCAGAAAAATGCCTGAGCTATGGTAATTTCCTAATTTATTTTTTCTACGTTCTTTATATCTCTTTGCAATAAATATGGTTTTTATTGCAAGCATTTTTTTAAACTGCTAAACTCACGTCATAATATCTTCGCCTTTTATTTAGGTTTAAGATGAATTTTATTGTGGATGATGCCGCAAATTAATTCAAATTCTTAGTGATGGGAAGGACTGCTAAAAAACTTCTGGGTATTTCTTGCCACTCTTTGGTCATAGAAGAAGGCCATGATGACTCTTCTGTGTTGCCGCCGCACTTCCAAAAATTGGTTGGCAGCATCAAAAAATTCTAGGTCCGTTTTGGTAATCAAAACAATGAGTTTGGCAACACTGACTTTGTTGTTCATGGAATAGTTGAGGAACAAGCGTCATTTGACCCAAAACTTAGTTTGATTATACCGCGTACACCTACTAGCAACACTGGGAAACAAGTCATTGATGCAGCAAACCCTCTCCCTTTTACGACCATGCAATCGCAGACTCAAGAAATCCAATCAGTTGTGACAAACAAGGTTGTAAAAAGGACACTATTTGTTGAAAATGAACCTTCAAAAGCTCACATGTTAATTTTCTCTTTCAAATAACGTTGGTATCTCATTTAACAAAAACATCATGCATGCACTTTACAATGTTCATTTCCATCCTTTTTAAATTTGACATGTTTTCACAGCAAACATGATGAGGGGAGCCAACCACCATCTGCTAATTTAGCTAGAATCTCTGCGAAATTCTCTGACTTGGTTGTCCCAAAAGTTGAACTTGCAGACAAAATTCCTATCAGTGCATTAAGAAGTAGATCACATACAAAGAAAATCAAGGACAGGTATAATGAGATATTGTTTACAATAATATATGCCAACTTGGACCATTATTGAATTTTTGTTCTGGTTTGTTGCTTCGTGTTGGAGATGTTCATTTGCAAAAGAAATGAGCTATAGAAGACTTCATCATTGACTGCTACAAAGGATCAAATATTTATATTTTTTTTGGCCATTCCACTACTATAGATATGTACTTTTTGGGCATTCCATACTAAAGCTACCTAATGCACATACCATAAGAACATGTCTTATTATTTTTGCAACTGTTGGAACGGCATCAAGCCTTGCAGGACATGTATTTTGTCATGTTTCATGCACAAACAAAATATGTGTAAACTGCATTGTACTTCAGTCTTTGATGCAAAGACACTATATTTTGTCATTGCAACTTTTGTCAATGTAAACTTTCCTTCAAGTAAGTTTGATTGTATATTGGCTCTCGATGTCAACTTAATAGAGTGGCAATGTAAACTGAACTGCTTATTTTATGTATCAATGCACTTATCTCTTGCTTTTTCTTTTATTTGGAGATAATTGTGTAAATTTGTGGATATTATTCATGGTTTGAAAACCCACAGCAAAGCACAGGCATTCCTGCTAGTTGTAAACAAAATCCCAATATTGGTCCACCTAGGAAACCAAAGTTCAACTTTGAACAATCCAATTACAACAATCTTCACCGTAGAAAGAAACTAATGTTGGAAGATTAGGAGATTTGAGGCCTCTTGATGATAGTGCTTGAAATGTTTTCGATACGATCAATATTTCTGTGAAAGTAATGAAAAAATAAAATAAAAGCATAAAAAGGGGCTGAAATCTAAACTTCAAAAGATATCAGAGAAACACTTAAAATTCGTTTAAAATCGACAAGATTTAGCGATATTTCCGACATAGCAGTTAAGTATCGACAAACTGTCATATGACATTTCATAAAGTTTCATTTTTAATTCCATAAAGTTTCATCTAGGGCAATCGATACCAATATCAATATTGACATCTAAATATCCATCAATTTTTCATAAATTTGCGTATTGATATTTTCATCAACGACATTTAACCACTACCTGATGGGCATCCTTAAATTTTCCAAAAACTTTACCTTTGAAAGAGGCCACTTCTGTCAATGAATCTCAAGTGAGAAGTTGACCCGCTTATGTCTAGCTTGTAGTATGCCAAAACTTACTCCTCGTGAAGATATATTCCGCTTTGCATCTATTCTCCGACGATTTAGTCCAAAAGCGTCCTAGTAAGGGTGATGTAATCGTGCATATACAACGTACTTATCTTCGACGTCTTGACTACATTAAGTAAAAAAATGCGACCCAAGTAGACAAAAGACCCACTAAAGATGTCAGACGGTTTGTCCTTGGGTTAGTTGTGTTTGAATCTTGTTTTCATTTTAAAATTCAAGTTAGTCCAGTTGCCATAAAGAAGAGAAAACTTATCTTGGAAGTTTGAGCACTCTCACTTATCTTTTCAGATATAAGAGAAACCTCAAATGCATTCTCACTGAGGAAGAGAGAAAGGTGAGAGAGGAGATCACTGTTCTTGTAGAGAAGAGCAATCATCTTTAGAGTGAGAGGAGTGAGTTTTAGTTTTCAATAGAGAAAACCACAATATCACACCACCACCAAATTGGCCACCACCACAATCCTGCATGTTTGAGTAAGTGTTAACTAGCTTCACACACTTACTAATCACATTCCTTCACTCATCTGATACTAGAAGGTGTCGACAGCAGTTAGAGGGATTCTATACTTTGGAGCCTAAGAGGAAGAGCTATACAATGTGGATTCAAACTTTGAAAGAAGTTGATGGGATTGCTAAATAGATCGGGTTTAGAGCACACTGTAAAGGTATGTTTTCTACTTTCTTCTACTTTCACTTTTGTATAAAACAAAGGGAATTCTTATTAGCACTCCAAAAATTTCATTTGGCACTCCAAACTTTCTATAATTAGAAAGAAAAATACATTTGTAAGGAGTGTAGAATTAAAACTTTTAAAGTGCTAATCACAGTTCCCAAAACAAATGAATACATTAATCATATGATTAGTGATCTTGAAGGGGTTTGTATTAAAGAGTAATTAGGTTTCGGTTTCTATTCACCAATGTTCATTGACTCAAATCTTATTGATTTTCAATTTTTAATCAAAATCTAGCCTTTTTCCATGCCAGACTTTTATAATATATTTTTATATGTTACCAATTGTAATACTTCATCATAATGTTATCTGTTGAAATACTATATGAAATATTTTCTGAAAGATTCTGAATACCTTGAACATGAACAAGAATTCAAGCTAAAATAAAAATAATACTGCCGCAGAAATACTGTAAATAATAGTAAGAAAGCAAGTATATATCTTGCATTGAAAATGAAAAGCAGTCCCAAGTTTGAATAGATATATACTGCGTACATATTAAAACTGTCCATCGCAGTCATATGACCAAAATAATAAACGATGAATTCCAAAATTAGGCTAATGCCCCCCATAACCTAACTCTCTATCCATATCTATCTCCCTTAAATTCACCGAGTCACTTTCTGCTACCCGATCAAGATCTACCTCTGCTTCAATTAGCTCGGTCCTTCGTCTTCTTAATTTGATCTCTAAAGCATCCACATCTTCTCTCAATCTTTTCACTCCCCCTGTCATTTCCTCAAATTTCTTCATACACAAAGCAGACTGAACATATGGCTTTAACCACGACAAGTCAAATCTGAAGATCTCAAGCTCTTCCCATAAAAGCTCAAGGTGGTCGCAGGAGTCCTCAGACGTCATATCCTTACTTTTTGCAGTCTTTAAAAAAGGCAGGACTCTTCCCAGAGCTGTGAATGCACATTCAGTGAACTTACGACTCCTCTTTTGTTGGCACTCGATCAATGAAGGATGCCCTGAGCAAACCTCCTCTAGTAGTGGAACAAAAGCTTTCTCGATCCAACCTAAACCTTTGAAATCAATGAGCTTACTAGCTGGAGTAGTGTAGGGTAGTTTTTCTTTCTCAGGTAACTTGACTACACGAGGGCCAGTAGGACTATCGGTGCTATTGTTACTGCAAATTTGTAGAGAACTTGGTTTATCATTGGAGGGAAGCAGCTGTTCACAATGTGCTTCAGAATTGGGTGCTACTGAAGAGTGTGGAACTTGCATAGAATTTGCACTTAGTGAGTGCTCCGTACTCTTAACAAGAGAAGATGATCCTTCCTCGTTTTCATCCTCATCGATTTCAGCCTCAAGGACATAAACCTTTACTTCAATAATACATGTATCATTCACAACATAGCCTTCAGTACAGTCATGGAGCTTACTACAAGGCAAAGTAACAAATCTGTAACCCAATGTAGTCACCTCTTCTTTGAACTCGTTCTCTTTATGAAATTCTACCAAAAAAAATATCAAACGATATCACAAAAAAAAAATAAAAAATAATTAAGAATGCCTGTGTACATCAACAATAAAGAATTTTCAGACAGTTGCAAAAAAAAAAAAAAAAAAAAAAAAAAAAAACCAAAAAACCATGATTCAATAAACAAAATGTTCGTCAGGAAGGGAAAAATATTATTGCAGCAATGTCCGACTTCCAACTCATCATGCTTGGCTATATTCGATAACCAAAAAAAGAAAAATAGTTACCGTTCACTTTTGCATAGCACAACTCTTAAAATTGTTCAAAGAGATGCAACCACCACTTGACTAAAACTATACACCTATTGGGGTTAGATGATAATTGTCTTTTTACTGAGAGACTTGATAAGATTTTACATATATACAAACTTCTTCAAAAATATTCACAGGTAAGGAATTAAGTTTGATAAGATAATGGTTCTTGCATATAAGCATGTACATATCCTATTGCTTTTCAATACATCAAAATCAGTCAAAACCACATATGGAGATGCAGGAACCAGTTTTGACGTGCAATTTCACCAAGCCATTCATGGCCAAATTATAGGTGGCTTCATTTAAGTTATCAGAAAATCAACCTTAAGATCTACCATTCCTCCGATGCCACTCATACCAAATGAGCTAGCTAATTAGTTTCTATGCCATTAAGTGCTAATTAGAAAGAAAGAAAAAAAAAACTAAGTTTGAGATGAAAAAAGATTTTATAAATAATATCATGCAAGGGAATAAGAACAAACTGCCATCAAGCAGGAATAAAAGGCATGATGTACCAATTAGTGAATTTAAGCTATTTGTTTGGTTCACTTTGAGAATTTAGAAAACGGATTACAGAAAGCTGCAAGAATACTTTCATGTGTTTGGTTATTTACAAGAAATGCGCGGGGAGTAAAGACGAGAAAAACACTGTTAATTGCCTTTAGAGTATGAAATTGCAATCTCTCAAGAGTCCAGAGTTTCCTAGAAGGAAGAGAAAAACAAACTCAACAATAAGACACTCTCCCTGCATGTACTTTTGTATTCTTTTAAATGGATATACACGAATTCTTTTTTTAAAAGAAACAAAGAAACTCATTTTACGCTCCTAACACATCACTCATTATAACTCATTATAAACTAAAGAGTGAGAATACTGCCTGAACTCAGTCAAAACTTGAGCCTCTATATATATATATATATATTAGTTAATGGTTCGTAGTCCAAAACAACAATCAATTACATGGTTTGGTCCTAACATATTTATATTATCACGTGGAAGTATAGAAGTCACACTTACACCATTGGGACCAAACGATGTAATTAGTTGTTGTTTTGAAATATGAACCATTGATTAAGAGAAGCCAAAGCTCCATGATGACTAGTTTCGGACTATATTGTGCAATTGTGGGTACTACGTTGACACATAAGTGAGTCTCACAATTGTCAAATCATCCATTTACTGAAAGACAAACAAATAAAAGACATAAATTGATGCAATTTCAAAACATACTGAACGGAAAGAAAATACCTAGTGTTTTTGACTTATTTCTGTTTAGTTGATTGACCACAGTAAACATGAATTGAGCACAAATACTCCACCCAGATGGCAATGTCGAAGCATCTGCAACATTCAAATATATAGCCAAATAGCCGTCTCCGCGGCACCCCTTTGGATACATGAGGATCCGCCTGATCCAATCACACCAAGTTTATGCAGTCCAACTAACGCAGAGCAGAACAAAAAAAATTCCAAACGCACGTATCTATATAGGAGATAACTCACATTCAAATACGTACCATTTAAAACCACCAATGATGAAAACGTCAGAGTAATGCTTGCTCTGCAACTTCAAGAAGTGTTCGACTCTCCATGTGAAAGTCCCCGAAAAAATATCTTTATATTCTTCAGTATACTTCAAATATTATACTCACTCAATCAGGTTAAGATTAAGAATAAAATATATGTGAAGAAAGAAAGATACTGTCAGCAACCCTAGTCATTATAATCGAGAGACTTACCATTTCAACCAACGAATCAGAATGAGTAGTTTTTTGTTCGCAATTTTCGGTTGTCGCTGAAGACATTTTCTTTCTGTAATTCTCTTTTTGCAGTCTTTGTTCTTTCTAGTTGTTCTACTGTTTGAACCACATCTTGTCTTCCCTGGCTTGTATGTGTAGGTGCCGTGGAGATCCAGCCCACGTTAATCTGGAATTTGGTGGAGCTTTCCACCTCGAGAATGGTAAAGGCCGTAACATTGGTAAATGAAAAGCTTGTTGGCTGGTGCATGAATTCAGATTTCAGAATCATTGATTCTTGCTATGAATGACTTTTGGTATTTCAAAACAATTTAGGGGCATTAATATGCCCACTCTTGAAGAAAAATGGTGATTTCGTATAAAAGTAAGGCTAAAACGTTAAAATGGTTTCCATGTTTTAGTCATTGAGTCAACTTAGTCCTTATGTTTCCAATTTGACCAATTTGGTCCTTGTGTTTATCTGTAACATCCCACATCGCCCAAGGGATTGATCCTTAAATGTATATTCCCATCCCTACCTAGCACGAGGCCTTTTGGGAGCTCACTGGCTTCGGGTTCCATGGGAACTCCGAAGTTAAGCGAGTAGAGCCTGAGAGCATTCCCAGGATGGGTGACCCATCGGGAAGTTCTCGTGTGAGTTCCCAAAAACAAAACCGTGAGGGCGTAGTCGGGGCCCAAAGCGGACAATATCGTGCTACGGTGGTGGAGCGGGCCCGGGAAGTGGTCCCCCCCCCCGGGCCGGGATGTGACAATTTGGTATCAGAGCCTAACCCTGGTCGGGTGTGTGCCGACGAGGACGTCGGGCCCCTAAGGGGGGTGGATTGTAACATCCCACATCGCCCAAGGGATTGATCCTTAAATGTATATTCCCATTCCTACCTAGCACGAGGCCTTTTGGGAGCTCACTGGCTTCGGGTTCCATGGGAACCCGAAGTTAAGCGAGTAGCGCCCGAGAGCATTCCCAGGATGGGTGACCCATCGGGAAGTTCTCGTGTGAGTTCCCAGAAACAAAACCGTGAGGGCGTAGTCGGGGCCCAAAGCGGACAATATCGTGCTACGGTGGTGGAGCGGGCTCGGGAAGTGGTCCCCCCCGGACCGGGATGTGACATTATCTTTGTTAGTGACATTTCCATTTAATTTTTGTAAATTTTTTTTATAAATAATTATAAAATTATTTATTTGATTTAAAATATTTAAAAATAAATTTAAAAGAAAAATTATTCTCCTCCCAACTCTCCAACCTCCTCCTTAACATATCCCCCTCTCTTTTCTATGTCACAACCTTATGTGTTATTTCTCATTGATTTTCATTTTTCTGTAAAGAGAAAGGTTAATACCGTAATTATATCTCATTTAATTTTTCTTATGATTTTTTTAAAAGAGATTGAATGAAATGTCCTTAATTAGCTAACATAGACAAACACAGGGACCAAATTGGCTATGTGGCTATAACGCAGGGACCATTTTGACATTTAGGCCTAAAATCAAGGCTTAATAATTGGTTTGCCCCTGAAACTGTCATTTAATCTCACTTTACTTTCTGAAATAGATTTTGGCTCACTTTGCCCCGTCTCATTTAGTCTCAGTTCACCCCATTTTCGTCAATTTTGTCAAATAAATGTTAAATTAAAAGGTAGCATGGACATTTTGTTTTGACACAATTCTTTGCCTCCAACTTGTCTTCTAAGACAATCCCAATTCCATTTTTGATAAGTCTGATTCAAACCTATGTCTATCTTTCTTATGGATTGATATGTAGTTGCAGTCGCAGCTGTTGGATTAAATGAGTAGTTTGAATTAGATTTCAAAACACTACCTATTATTTTCTTTTGCCAACGGCCAAGGTTCTAAAAAACGTTAGGCGCTAGTTGGGCGGCGGGCTGGCACCTAGTGCGTATGCGGCTAGGCGGGGTCTAGGCAGGCACCTAGGCGAATTTAGGTAAATTTCTTATTTATCTTGTAAATAAGTGCATATTGACACTTACAAAAAATTATACTTGTATGAAATCCATGGATAAGATAATAAAAGAATGATAAAATGCAAAAAGAATATCCAACAAGTCCAAAATTTAAAAACACATTAAGCATATATATGCCATATAACCATAGTGAGGAGTATTGTATAAACATGTACAACAACTTCACAATTTTAAACCACTTAGACTTAGATAGGATTTTTTATTTTATTTTTTAATTTCATTAAAATAAAATAAAAAAACCGCCTAGCACCGCCTAGCCTTGCCTAGCTCGCGTAGGCGGCCACCTAGAGCCTTTCCGATTTTTCCCACCGATTTGCAAGAAAATGCCTCGGCTCACCACCGCCGAGTGCCTAGGCCGTTTTTTAGAACATTGCAAATGGTTGTGTCATGCTTCAGGCCAACCAGCGAGGCTCAGCTGCACTTGGCGACTTTCGGCAGCGACTTAACCGCGATATTCTTTTTTCTTTTTTTTTTCCTCGGTTTTCCTAGATTTTTAGAACCCTATTCGTGCTTCTATTTTCTTTATGTTTCTTTGACTCACAAAATTCACATAGCAATTTCATCATCAAGATATGTAAATATAAATTGCGTAGGCATAAATATGCTTATATATTTACAAATATATGCAATACGCAATATGTAATAATGAAATTATGAAATAGATTGAGAGTTCATGCATCATGAGAATGTTTTTAGGCAAATAGGGCTGATAAATATCAAGTTTCTGTTTTAGAAGAACCTAATTGGCATAAAATGAAATTTGAGCCCTTGAATTTGTACCACGAATCTTCAGTTCCTTAAAGTCAACAAGAGCATGCTGATAATGTGTATCGTAAGCCTGTTTAATTGAAGAATTATATAGTGAGAGGGAGTGAGGTGCGACACACAGAGAAAGAAAGAGATTTGGTGAATTCTGAGGTGTGTGTTATCTCACCTCATTGTGATTTTATATTCCTTAATTTTTAGGCATTACAACCAAATTAGGACACTATTTAAAATATAATAT